TCCATCTCCTCCTCCTCCATCCCTCCTCCCCCATCTCCCCCTCCCCTCTCCATCTCACCTCCCCTCCATCCCTCCCCCTCCTCCTCCATCTCCTCCTCCCCCTTCCTCCTCTCCCCATCTCCTCCCCCCCCTCCCCTGCTCCTCCACCCCTTCCCCCTCCCCTCCTTCCCTCCTCCCCCTCTCCTCTCATCCTCCTCCATCTCCTCCTCCCCCCCCCCTCCTCCATCCTCCTCCTCCCCTCCCCCACCCCCTCCCCCCCTCCCCATCTCCTCCTCCATCTCCTCCCCTCCTCCTCCATCTCCTCCTCCTCTCCACTCCTCCTCCTCCTCCTCCTCCACCCTCCTCCTCCTCCCCTCTCCTCCCCCCTCCTCCTCTTCCCTCCCCTCCTCTATCTCCTCCTCCTCTTCTTCCTCTTCCCCTGCTCTTCTTCCTCCTTTTTTCCTCTCTTTTTCCCCCTCTTTTTTCCTCTTTTTCCTCTTCCTCTTCTTTTTCCTCTTCTTCTTTTTCCTCTTCTTCTTCCCCTTTTCTTCTTCCTCTCTTCTTCCTCTTTTTTCCTCTTCCCCCTTTTCCTCTTCTTCTTCTTTTTCTTCTTCTTCTTCTTCTTCTTCTTCTTTCCTTCTTCTTCTCCCCCCTCCTCCTCCTCCTCCTCCTCCTCCTCCTCCTCCTCCTCCTCCCTACCCCTCCCCCCTAACTCCTCCTCCTCCTCCTCACTCCTCCCCCTCCTCCTCCTCTACCCCTCCTCCCCCCTTACCCTCCTCCCCCATCTCCCCCCCTCCTTCTCTATCCCCCCCTCCCTATCCCCCTCCCCCCCTCATCTCCTCCCCTCTATCTCCTCCCCTCCCCATCTCCTCCCCTCCCCCCTTTCCCTTCTCCTCTATCCCCCTCCTTCTCCTCTATCTCCTCCTCCTCCTCCTCCATCTCCTCCTCCTCCCCCCTCCTCTATCTCTTCCTCCTTTATCTCCCCCCTCCTCCTCTATCTCCTCCATCTCCCCTCCACCTCCCTTCCCCCCCCTTACTCCCCCCTTCTCCCTATCTCCCCCTCCTTCTCTATCTCCCCCCCTTTTATCCCTAAACCTCCTCCTCCCCCTCCTTCCCTATCCCCCTCCTCTTTTATCCCCCTCCTCTTTTTTCTCCTCTTTTAAATCCCTCCTCCTCTATCTCCTCTTCCTCTTCCTCCTCTTTTTCCCTCCTCCTCCTTTTTTTTCCTCTTCTTCCCTTCTTTTCCCCTCTTTCTTCCTTCTTCTTTTTCCCTTCTCCCCTCCTCTATCTCCCCCTTTCCCCCCCCTCATCTCCTCCCCCCTTCATCTCCCCTCCTCCTCCTCCTCATCTCCCCTCCTCCCCCCCAATCATCTCCCCCCTCCCCTCCTCCATCATCCCCTCCCCCCTCCTCCATCCCCTCCCCTCCTCCATCCCTCCTCCTCCTCCTCCTCCACCCCCCCATTCCTCCCCCTCCATCTCCCCCTCCACTCCTCCTCCTTCTCCTCCTCCTCCATCTCCTCCTTCTCCTCCTCCCCCATCTCCCCTCCCCTCCCTCCTCTTCCCCTCCTCCATCTCCCCCTCCCCTCCTCCTCCCTCCCCCCCCATTCTCCTCCCCCTCCCCATGCCCCTCCCCCCTCCATTCCTCCCCCCTCCATCTCCCCCCCCCCATCCCCCCATCTCCTCCTCCCCCTCTAACTCCTCCTCCCTACTCCCCCTCCTCTTCTTCCTCTTCCCCCTATCTCCTCCCCTCTTCTTCCTTTTCCCTCCCTATCTCCTCCTCCTCCCCTCTATCCCTCCTTTTCCCTCCTCTTCTCCTCCCCCTCTTTTTCCCTTTTCTCCTCATCTCCTCCTCCTCTTTCCTTTTTCCCCCTCTACTCCCCTCCTCTTTTTTTCCTCTTCTTCTTTTTCTTCTTCCTCTTCTTTTTCTTCCTTTTTCTTCTTTTTCTTCTTTTCTTCCCTTCTCCTTCTCTTTTTTCTTCTTTTTCTTTTTCCCTCCTCCTCCTCCTCCTCCTCCCCCCTCATCCCCTCCCCCTCTATCTCCTCTGCCTCATCTCCCCTTTCCTTTCCCCTCCCCTCCTCTCCTCCCCCTCCATCTCCTCCTCCCCTCCATCTCCTCCATCCCCCTTTCCCCCCCTCTCCATCTCCTCCTCCTTTTTCCCCCCATCTCCTCCTCCCCCTGCTCCCCCACCCTCCCTTCCTCCACCCCTCCTCCATCTCCTCCCCACTCCTCCCCCTCTCCTCCCCCTCCCCCCCTTCCTCCCCCTCCACCCTTTCCCCCCCCTCCATCTCCCCCTCCTCCTCCATCTCCTCCCCTCCTCCTCCCCCCACTCCCCCCCCCCTCCACCCTCCCCTCCTCTATCCCCCCCTCCTCTATCTCCCCCCCCTTTCTTTTCCCTCTTCCCCCTGCTCTTTTTCCCCTTTTCTTCTTCTCTTCTTCTTCTTCCCTTCTTTCTTTCCTTCTTCTTCTTCTTCTTCTTTTTCTTCTTTTTCTCCCCTCCTCCTCCTCCCCCCCTCCCCTCCTCCTCCTCCCCCCCCCCCCTCCCCCCCGCCCTCCCCCCCCTCGTCTCCTCCTCCATCTCCTCCTTTCCTATCCCTCCTCCCCCCAAATCTCCTCCCCCCCTCCCCTCTACCCTCCTCCCCCCCCTCCTCATCTCCTCCTCCCTACCCCTCCTCCTCCTCCCCCTCCTCCTTCCCTCTACCCTCCCCCCTTCCCCATCCCCTCCCCTTCCCCTTTTTTTCTCCTCCTCCTTCTCCTCTATCTCCTCCTCCCATCTCCTCCTCCTTCTCCCTATCTCCCCTCTTTTATCTCCCCTACACTCCTCTTCCTCTTCCCCTCTTTTTCCTCCCCCCTTTTTTCCTCCCCTCCTTCTTCCTCTTCTTCTTCCTTCTTTTTCCCTTTTCCTCTCTTCTTTTTCCCTCTTCTTTTTCTTCCCTTCCTCTTCTTCTTCTTCCCTCCTCCCCCTTCCTCCCCCTTTCTTCCCTTCTTCCTCTTCTTTTTCTTCTTCTACCCCTCCTCCCACCCTCCCTCCCCCCTCACCCTCCCCTCATTCCCCTCCCCTCCTCCCCCCCCCCTCCTCATCCCCCTCCCCTCCTCCTCCCATCCTCCTCCTCACCCCCCTCATCCCCTCCCTCCTCATCCTTCCATCCCCCTCCTCTCCTCCCCCCTCCTCATCCCCTAACCCATCAATCATCATCATCCTCCCTCCTCCCATCCCATCCTCCTCTCCTCCCCTCCTCATCTTCCTTTTCCCCTCATCTTTTTCCCCCCTCCTCCTCCTCTTCCTCCTCCCCTCCTCCTTTTCCTCCCCTCCCCTCCCCTCTTCCTCCCCTCTCCTTCTTTTCTCCTCTCTTCCTTTCTTCCCCCCTCTTCTTCCCTTCCTCCTCTTCTTCCTCTTCCTCCTCTTCCTCTTCCTCTTCTTCCTCTTCCTCCTCTTCATCTTCCTCTTCCTCCTCTTCCTCCTCAAGGACCCACTAGGGGTGAAGGGAAAGTGAGGATAGTTGAAGAATAGATGGGAGAAAGGAAAGAATTACAGAGAAAAGAAAAGAGTCGGGGCTCGACCCAACATACATCAGAGAGTGTGACTGTGCTAGTGCAAATAATTATTCTGCATATTTTATCCTTTTTATCCTTTATAGAACAATAATTGCATAATTTTGGCAGATAGTTTGTCATCATTATTTCAGTATATTAGCCATTAGTATCAGCAGCATCATGATATTTTCAGTAAATAAAATGTTGTCTTGTATCAAAAATTTAGCTTATATAAGTTTTTATGGGTAAAACATAACATACTTTACAAAAAAAAACTGTACATTAACATTGATTACTATAATTAAAATCAGAGGAGATGTTTGAGAGTGAGGTACATAGTGTACTGTGAAGTGATGTTATACTCATTCCCTTACACACAACATTTGTATACCTTTAACCCTTTGACTGTCATGACCCCAAATCCTAAAGTCTCTCTCTGTGTTGCAAAATTTTCTTATGAAATGATAGAGAATCTTTTCCTGGTGTTAATGACATCAAAAGTACAAAATTTGATGGAAAACTTACAAACTCATATCTATTTTTTTAGAACTCCACTTGTTCTATTAATTAAGTACAAGAAACTGCCCATTTACTGATTTCAACTACCCAATAAAGTGGTCAAATTGGCAATTTGGCCAATTTCACGCAAATTAAAAAAGATGCCAATTTCAAAATAGGGTCCAGAATGAACAATGCAGACATTCCTGGCACTAAAATAACATTTTCTCTGTTCATTAGTCATGTCTCCAGGGCCCTCTTATATTACTTGCTATTTTTAATTTTTATTCACACAAAAAAATAGAAGATTTACTGTTATGTAGACTACTGCATTGTAATAATTGTATAAATAATGTCAACCCATTCATGACTGCTTATTAGAATGGCTAATTGGACACTTATTGGACAATCATGTCATTTGTTTATTCTTGAACATCGACAAAAATCGAACATTTCCGCTACTTTGAGTCAATTTCTAAGTCCTTTTCATTGTGAAACCAATCAAAATCATCTCTGCTTCTGTAATATGTCTTCCATTCTATCAAATAAGACCACGAAAACAAGAATACAACCATAAATACTATACAAAAATACACCTCAAAGTCAGTGTTTTAATCCAAAAACACCACCGAAATTTTTTTTTTTCTCATTATGCACTGTGTGCTGCAGGATTTTTTTTATATTGCGCACACTGACTACACAGACCCATTCTCTCACATATGGGCCTACCAGCTTTCTCCCGCTTGATTTGAAGCCGTTGGAATTTTGGAGTATAAATATGTCAAAAACACTGGCTCGTAAGATGTATATATACAACCGAAACAGTCCAAGTGTTAAAAGTCAAAGCTTACCAGATATTTTTTATGTGGTTTCCCAGACACTTACGTTAATTACATAGCAAAGTCTTACCTGATTTTTTTATTTTTGATGACATCTTGAAAGCCCTTCTTAATTTAAAAATGCTATACTGTATATTATTTTTGTAATCAAGTCATTTATTACATATAGTTAAATATCTTTTCCAGGTTGAAGATCTTATCCATAAATATAATGGCCAGGGGAAGTCAGTGGCAGGTATTGTAGTTGAGCCCATACAGGCTGAGGGCGGAGATAATCATGCCTCACCAGAATTCTTCCAGGAACTGCAACAAATTGCAAAAAGGGTATGTTAAAAGTTTTTCAAGTTTAGATGAAATCATAGTGTTTTTGAACCTTCATAGTTAATGACTTATGTAGCAGACTTTGGATCATCAATGAGATACCATATAATAAATACAGTCAAACATTTACCACTTTAGTGAAAAACTAGGAAACATGATTACTGATGCCCACATGAATAAAGACCACCTACTAGTAACAGGAGATTTCAACATAAACATACTACATGACCAGGATCCACAAGTAACCAAATTCACAAACACAATGAGCAACTACCTGTTGCTACCAGCAATATCTAAACCTACAAGAATCACTGAGACAAGCATCTCCTTAATAGACCACATCTGGACAAACACCATATCCCCTTTAAGCGAAATAATGGCTGATAACCAGAAGCCGAAAAACCAGCCTATAACCGAGTTGACCGATAATAGGAATGGCCGTTAACCAGAGGTCCACTGTATTAGAGTAAGGAGTGTCGTTTGGGGTATACAGTATCGTATCTTGGAAAGGATGCCTACTGATTTGGAAATTTTCTTGAATATATGCTGGATGTGGGAATGAAATTAAAGATTACAGTCAAGGAGAGACCGAGAAATTTACCCTCAATGAAGTGAACCATAGAACTGACGAGAGGAAAGGTTGGGTGGTGCATTGAAGCATCTGTGGACATGAAGAACTTTGTCTATTGAGGCAAAATGTGAAATGTAACAAAGTATTGTGGTACCAACACATATGGATGTGAAGCATAGGTTTTAACCCCTTTACTGTCCAACCGTAGATCTATGTTCTTACCACTAGCGCTCCAAATGTAGATCTGCGTTTTATTTTTCCTGCCTCCAAATTTGGCATGATTGGCCTGAGATGCCTGGTCAACATAGAATGGGTCTTAACATTCGGTGTGTGCATTATTAAAAAAATTTGGGATCACTTAATACCTTGTGGGAGCACCAGTTTAATTGAGCACCAGCAAGAGCAAATAGCATGGCAAACACCAGGGATTCACTGATGTCATGCCGTATTAACACTCCCCTTTTAAGAGGAAAGTGATGGATGTGGCCACAAGTGGTCGAGGGAATATCAAAAACCTCGATAATAACCCATGTGTAACATTTGTGCAATATCCTTTCATTAACGATACCACTGGCTGTCTCTCTGTCTGTATCTGTGTAAATTACCTAGGATAACTCAAAAATTCCAGGCAAAGTGCTATACAGTGCTTGTAGACATAAGACATAATAAGCATGACTGGTAACTCACTGGCAAGTAATACACGTTTTCACTTCATCAGGAATCAGACTACTGCATCATGTGTAATACCTGTTGGTTTACAAGCTGCTCTCTGAGACTAAGAGACAAACAGTCAGAAAGACACACACAGGCAGACAGAAAGACAAACACACACAGGCAGACAGAAAGACAGATACACACAGGCAGACAGAAAGACAGACACACACACACACAGGCAGACAGAAAGAAAGACACACACACAGGCAGATAGAAAGACCGAGACACACAGGCAGACAAAGACCGAGACACAGGCAGACAGAAAGACAGAGACACACACAGGCAGACAGAAAGACAGATAAGTAGAGCTAGACAGACAGACAAACAGACAGACAGATAGATAGGCAGACATACATGTTTGTGTGTAACAGTCATCATTAAGTGTCACTCCACTGCTTACCCTGTCAGCAGTTTAGTGACACTCGTCATAAACACCATGCTTCAAGACGTTTCATATATACTCCACCAGGTCTAAAACATTGCTGAGACCTATAAATACTTTATATATATATTTTTAGACAATAGTAAATGTCCAAGGCAGGTGAAAATGTTCACCTGTCAGTGTGATTGTGACTATTTGAGTACGTACTATTTCAGTACATAATATTAATGTCAGAGCAAAGATTGGCTATGAAATCACAAAAACTATTATAAATTGTAATTATGAGAACAAAAATTATATAAATTAAATTAAAAATGAGGAAAAAAGGTATATCGGCAACACTTCTGTAAGCGGCAGGACTCGATGTTGCCGTCAAGTGAGCACCAGCACCAACTTTGCGGCCTTATATCTTGGTAAGTACTGGTCCTAAAAAATTTTTTTTTTCTTATGTAAAAAAAGTCCTCTTTATTAAAAAAAAAAAATCAAAATACAGTGGTCCCTCTTTGTTTGTAATTAATCTGTTCCTGGAGCCGTTACTATAAACGAAATTTATGATTTACGAATCAATTTTCCCCATAAGAAATAATGTAAATACAATTAATCCGTTCCTGACACCCAGAAGTATTAAAACAAAAAAATTTTTAACATGAAATATACATGTAGTACATAAACAATACAATGGGAAATGATGAATGAAACATTAACAGCATAACACTTACCTTATTGGAGATTCTTCTTAGTGTATGGGAGACTGGAGGAGGAGAGAGAGTGGATTGTTTATAGTTTGGAAGGGAATCCCTTCCATCAACACCTCAGGTACCATTTGCTTTTCTGGGGTTGCTTCTCTTCTCTGTTTCTTAATGCCACTAGGACCACCTTGAGAGTCACTGGAGTCCTGTCTCACAAAATAACTGTGGAGAGAGCTCTGTTTCTGGCGTCTCTTTAACACTTCCCTAAAATGGCCCAAGACTTTGTCACTGTACATGTTGCCAACCTGGCTTGCAACAACCTTGTTAGGGTGATTTTCTCCATAAAGCTTTCCATCTTACCCCACATAGTAAAAATCTCTTTAATTTCTGAAGAAGGCACCTTCTTCCATCTCTCTTCCTCCTCCTCTGCAGCAAGATTCTGAGCTGCGATGTGTTGCTGTTCCTGCTGAAGCTCTTGCAGCTCCTCAGTGGTGAGCTCTTCATTGTGGTCTTCCATCAATTCTTCCACATCCTCCAAACTCACATCCAACCCCATGGAACTCCCCAGTGCCACAATTGATTTTACAACAGACATAGGCTCATTAGGGTCAGTCCCAAATCCTTCAAAATCCCTCTTGTCGACACAATCTGGCCACAATTTTCTCCAGGCAGAGTTTGAAGTCCTGGTAGTCACTCCCTCCCAAGCCATACCTATAAGGGTTATGCAGTGGAGGATGCTGAAGTGTTCTCTCCAAAATTCCCTTAGGGTCAAGTGAGTGTCTGTGGTCACAGTCAAGCACCTGTGAAACATTGCTTTTGTGTAGAGTTTTTTAAAGTTTGCAATAACCTGCTGGTCCATGGGTTGGAGGAGAGGAGTGGTATTCGGGGCAAGAACTTTACTGTGATGAACCCAAACTCCTCGAAAATTAGGTCATCCAAGTTTGGAGGATGAGCAGGTGCATTGTCCATTACTAGCATGCACTTGAGATCCAATTTCCTTTCCAGGAGATACTCCTTCACACTAGGGCCAAACACTTCATTGAACCACTCGACGAAAATTTCCCTCGTGACCCATGCCTTACTATTAGATTTCCAAAACACACACAATTTACTCTTCATAACATTGTTTTTCCTGAACACTCTGGGATTTTCAGAATGGTACACTAGTAATGGCTTCACTTTGAAATCCCCACTAGCATTAGTGCAGAACATTAGCGTCAGCCTGTCTTTCATAGGCTTATGTCCTGGCATTGCCTTTTCCTCTTGTGTAATGAAGGTCCTCTTTGGCATTTTCTTCCAAAAGAGGCCTGTTTCGTTACAATTGAACACTTGTTCAGGTTTCAGTCCTTCACTGTTTATGTACTCCTGGAATTCATGCACATATTTTTCAGCCGCCTTGTGGTCCGAACTGGCAGCCTCACCATGCCTTACCACACTGTGTATGCCAGTATGGTTCTTAAATCTCTCAATCCAGCCTTTGCTGGCCTTAAATCCACTCACTTCACCACTATTTGCAGGCAATTTCTTTACCAAATCTTCATGCAACTGCCCTGCCTTTTCACAAATAAACAAAGTCATAAAAGTATCTTCTGCTAATTGTTTCTCATTTATCCACACCAATAATAACTTTTCAACCTCTTCCAGTACTGGTGATCTCATTTTTGTCAGCGTAGTTACTCCCTTTGCAACAACAGCATCCTTTATTTCATTTTTCTTGGCTACTATGGAACATAAGGTGTGTAGGGTTTCTTATACATCCTGGACAGTTCGGCCACACTTGTACCACTTTCATATTGTTCAATGATGGTTTTCTTAAATTCAATCGTATTTCTCACCTTCTTTACCACAGGCTTGGCACTAGGAGCTTTCTTTGGAGCCATGGTAGCTTATTTAGTACTTGCAAGCACTAAAATAAATGGAATATTATGAAATATTTCGCTGGAGCACGCGAGGGGACCTTCGCTCACTGGTAAACAATGCCAGACTGGCTGCCGCCCTGGCCCACGCCGTGCATACGCGTCCCGGACAAACTACGACTCGCGAGTCAACCTATGAAAAGCGAGTCCATGTTTATACAAAAATACCCCTATGATTGGCGAATTTTACGATTGCCGGGAACTACGAAAAGCGGGGGACCACTGTATTCGGAGCACTGGGCGAGAGAACGTAGATCTATGTTTGGACAGTTAAGGGGTTAAACATTTCAGTGAGGAGGAGGCTGGAGGCAGTCGAGAGGGTAATGTACCCTCCTAGTCATCCCCTTTGGCTGCATCCTCTAAAATGTCCAGACCACCTCAGCAACCTCTCCTTAGCCCTCTGAATAATACTTTTAGTAACCTCACACCTTCTTTCTCATCTCCAAGTTCCAAATTCTCTGCATAGTATTCAGATCACACATAAATTTCGGGTGGGCAAGGAAGGTTATGAATTTTCCCAGGAAGGGTTGGAGGGAGGGAAGTATGGGAGGTTCTGAGTGTTAGGGGCTTGCACATTCATTAGGCTTGTGTAAACATTTTATATATGAGTGGAGGCAAGTGATTTTTATGATTTGAAGTCGTATTGGAGTATGAACAAGGTAACAATTATGAAGGAACTCAGGGAAACTGGTTAGCCAATGTTGAGTCCCTCAGGTAACAAGTAGTGTCTG